CTTGGTTTTTCTAAAACTCTAGGACCTATGTACTATGGACATGGGACGGGTAGAATATGGTTGTATAGCATGCAGTGTTCAGGCTCAGAGACCTCACTTGGAAGCTGTTCTCACAAYGGATGGGGAAGTGTGTCTGGCTGCGATCACACTATTGATGCTGGTGTTGTATGTTTTTCTAATATGTAGTCAATAGTCAATAGTTTTCTTTTTGCGAAAATACCACTCTGATCCTTGATCTAAGAGTCTTTTGCGAAAATGCTGATTATTGTTTGGATCTTATAAGCTTTTCATTTTCAGCGGCAATGTAAACATTGGCTGTCTATCAAATGCCGTGGTTTTATATAGATTTCATAGATGTTTGAGTTGTTTATAGAAATGCTATATAGTATTGGATGCAATGCCCCGTWCAATTGATTTACGAATTAATTCCACATGCAATACTTTCGTGTGTTGTTTTATATTATTGATAGTGTGATAATGGAGACGCAGTAGAAGACAATGTGAAGTGGCGAGAAAATTAATTTTAGCAAAGTAGATAATGAGGTGATCACAATTCGTTCCAGGTGGACGTGAGTTTGTATGASAAATAATTTTTAAATGTTTCATTTGTCTGATTCCTAAATTTCCATTATAATTTGCTGTGGGTGCATTTTTGCTTTCGAACATTACATAACTWTATTTATGTTATCTAATACTCTYGAAACTAAACAGGTTTAAGAATATCAAATGAAGTAGAATAACGAAAATACTGTTATCCACATTCGTCTTGTGGAAKTATATCACCAGGGTCAATGGGGAACAGTGTGTGATAGTAGGTGGGGCATGGATGATGCCAAGGTTGCATGTCGTCAACTTGGTTTTACAAAAGCTCTAGGACCTTGGCAATATGGACGAGGGACGGGTAAGATATGGCTGTATTGGATGCGTTGTTCAGGCTCAGAGTCGTCACTTGGGAGCTGTTCTCACAATGGATGGGGAAGCGTTCCCTCTTGGTGCAATGGTCACACATATGATGCTGGTGTCGTGTGCATTTGTTCTGGTATCGATCATGATATCAAGCAACCTTTCTAAACTTTTCGCCGTCACATTATTGTTCGCCAGAAGATGTTTCAAAAGTACAAGCAAGAAAAGATGAACCGAGACCTGGTCGAGCATTACTTACAGAAACGACATCCTTTGCGGCAGGAATACTGATTAACACTACTGATTCCTCTACTGATCCTGTGGGTTGTTTCTCACCAGCGTCGAATGCTGCGCCAACGGTAACCAGTTGTAACAGTCGAACCTTTAATGAAATGGGTGCAACGACTATATATATTGCGTGAGRCAAATTACCCGTTTCTTCCTTATTTCTATCTTCAAGTGTCACCACTATAATTCCCTCAACGTCTTCGAACTTTAACCTTGGAGAAGGGAGCAACAATAACTATTCAGGGAAATAGCTTTTCCATCTTGTAGAATAGTAGGACTGACCATTGCACATCCTTGGGATGAGGCCGTCTTTCATCACGAGAGGATTGTGATATATGGTGTTGAATACTTCTGGGGTTCGAAGAGGTTTATCACCAGSGTCAATGGGGAACRGTATGTCGTTATGGCTGGGGTATGAATGATGCCAAGGTTGCATGCCGTCAACTTGGTTTTACCAAAGCTGTAGGACGTTCGTACAATGGACGAGGGACGGGTAAGATATGGCTGTGGAAGATGGGGTGTTCAGGCTCAGAGGCCTCRCTTGGAAGCTGTTCTCACKATGGATGGGGAAATGTCAACTCTTACTACTGTAATGGTCACACAAGGGATGCTGGTGTTGTGTACAGTGTCTGGCCCAGTATCCTGCCAAAACAAATTCAACTTAAAATATCTCGTCGGCTTTATTTTTCTACTTAATCCGAAGCTATCCAATGATTAGCCGAACACTTCCGGTTTCTGAAGACAGTTTTGACGGGCTTTTTGGACAACGCATTCGGGAACGAGGAGAAGAAAAGAGCAGTTAGGTAAACTTTATCATGGCTAAAATTAGGCTCTTTACTGCGCAGTGAAATTACCAATG